TCTTTCGAGGAAGCCGATCGGGGTTAGAGGAGGATTGTTTGCTGGGTTTGGCTTTAGATTTTCCATTGTTGAACTTGAAATGGTGGAGAAATATGAGAGATGTAGTGAGCTATGAGGGACTAAAGGCAGTAGAAGGCAAATGGTCCATTGAGTGGTTGAGATTCATTTTGTGAGATCCAGTCATCCCTCACCATGCACGTGGGACCTGGAAAGTGAAAATAATCTATAATTCTCAAAATAAAATAAATGGTGCTCCTCTTTGGAGAAACAATTTTTTTTTTTTAATATATTTCTTTCTTTTCTATCACTCAGGGACCTCTTGAAAAGTTATACAAATTAACTAAAGTTTTTTTTTTTTTTTATGGTCCTCGTCTTTGTGGAAAATGACAACCATTATAAAAAGAATGATATATGACTATTAATTACGTTAATTAACAGCAAGTGGTGGACAGCGTGCCACGGGTCGCGCATGATTGGTTGGAAGTGCCGCTGATGCCCGTGTCCCCTTCCCCGTGACGCAGTACCGTAGTCTCTCACATAATGTGAAGTTGCAGCATACATTTGGATCGTTGCATATACTAATCTTAACAATATCCTAGATATAATTACTAATAATTTAACGAATTAAAGAGTTGTTTTTCTATCTTTGCAAAATTGCATTACTTTTTCTATTTTATCGAACAACATGGCATATGCGTAACATCAAAGCAAAAAAAAAAAAATCAATGAATGTTTTAGGGACTTAAAACAAAGTAAAGATAACCTTTTTTATATTATTCTATTTTCTTTTCATTTTTTTATGTTGGTTTAATGCGTAATTATAAATTCAATGTAATTAGCCAACTTCATAAAATACTCATTAAATTAAAGTTGAATAAATATTAAAAAAAAACATATAGATTACATCTTTTTATTGTAACTAAGATGTGTTTGTTAAATGCGCAAAATACAATTAATGACTCTTTAAATTTTAACCATACAAATGCTAGCCTTTCTATGATTCGAATAAACATATGAAAACTTTTTTTTTTTTTTTTTACAGCAAAAGGAAAACATATTAATACTACTCATAAGTATTGAATTATAGAAAGTATTAACCAAAAATAACTTTGTATGTTTTGAGAGGTCGTTAACCTTCCAATGCCACAAGACTGATCCACGTAAAACTATATATATGATTGCTCAGGGTGAATTCATACCAACCCAAAACTGCGTTAACCATTTATTTTGGCAATGGCATTTTACAATTGTTTCAATGTCCGCTGATGGTGGATTTTAGTCAACAAGAAATTAACTCTCTGAGAACACTCACAATAATCTCTCACGTATTAATTAGAGGTTAATGATGCTGGATAAGTAAATGAGAAAAGCGTTTATAGTAGTTCGGTTAAAATTCTTTGCCTACATCCACTTGTGCATGCACTAATATATTGTAGATTACAAGTTCTCTGTAGTAGTCTGAAAGTGAGAGTAAAAAACTTAATGAATTTCTATGGCTCTATTTATAGGCCTCGTACATATGAGAAACCCCTTCTGCATCTCCCGCGGAGATCATCTTCTATCCCTTAATTTGGGGATTTGGTAGCTGGATTTCCCTGATTACTGCTTCCCGGTCAGGCTAACCACTCTTTACCCAATACTTGATTTTCTGACTCCAACAGTGGCGGTAGTTGATACAGTGTACCTTCCAGCTCGGACTCACAGTGGATTTGACCGCGCTAATGTCTCGACACGTGACCTCACCACCTGGGCTGGGCTCTCGACGCTCGTCAACATACGGGAATTCTCGACGTCTAAAGGGCACTCTGGACACACTGGTTCCCTAGGCGTCAGCGACCAATCTTCAACGTGGAGGCCTCGGCAATTGTCATCCAAGGGAACAGTCGATCTCTCGACCGTGGTGTAACAATGTCTTTGCATTCTTTGCTGCTTTCACTTTTTTAAGCATCAATCATGCTAGCTTAGCAGCTCGTCATCTTTTGGAACCAACTCCGCCTAACTTGCCAATATCAGCCGCCATCCATACCGTCTCCGGTGCCACAACAAAATTCTGCGCCTCTACCGGCCACCTCTACAACAATCCATGTTTCCAACTCTCCCAATAATAACATTCCCTTCTATTTTTACAATTTTCCCAGGATTTCCCTCGATTCCTGGGATATTATTCTTCACAAAAACGCATTCCGTCACCTCTAACACTCCTTGAATTATGCAGTCTTTTGTTCTCTACATATGAGTGCTTGTATTCTACACTTGGTTTGGCTAATAATAGTTGAGATGTATTCAAGTCTAATCGATGCTTATACTTTTCCTCGTCACTTAAAGTACTAATTATAAATAATACTTTCACACATGGTATTTACATGTAAATTGGAAGTTTCTATCTATTTCATTTCATCTAATCATGTTATATGCGATAGTAGTTTTTGTTCTACTTCTGTTTATTGTTACCTTCTTCAATTTTTTTTTTTTTTCTTTAAGCGATTATGTCTATACTAATATATACTTACTCGAAATTACTCTAATTCACTCCCAGAATAAATACATTAAACGGTTAACTGTTCATAACCTTTTTATTTTTTTTTATTTTTTTGGGAACCGTCCGCTCAAAAGGAGGCATAGACATATGGTTGCAGTTTGATGGAGGGATTTAAGGACAATTTTCGGAAGTTGTCACTAGATCTTGGACATTTAACGATGATTTTCAAAAAAAACTATCATTAAAAAAAAAGGTCTTTCTCAGGTAAGGCCTTCCTACTATTAGGTTCAGTTTCTGATCATTCAATTTATTCAAAATCACATCAAATTTAAAAAAATATATATATATACATAATATATAGTTTCTAATACAGATTTAATGGTTAAAACAAAGACTTTTTAACAGTCTACTTTTAAGCGCCTATCAGAGAAATCTTTTAAAAAAAATAAAAAATTGGATAAATTTTTCCTATCCATTCTTCTTTTCATAAACTTTCTCATATTTTATGATTTCAAGCATTCGCTTCTTCCCCCTCCAAAATTTAGGGTCTTTCTATGGTATGACCTCATCACTTACAAAAGCAATGGAGCACATGTGCAGCATTCCTCAAACTTTATCCCTCATATACACAAAGAAATTATACAATAATTATATAGTTTGTCCCGCATATACAATAATTTCATGTGGAAAGCTGAAAGTAAATAAAGTGAAGATCATTATCTTGCTTTCTTTGGACTAGTACTGCGTGCAGATTGGTTTTGCGACAGAAAGGTCATCTTGTATTATGATTAGAAATATCATAATATTATTGCCTTATATTATTAGGAAGATATAAGCTAAGCATGATTATTTGTTGAAGTCAAAATTTGTCAACCTCGGATTTTTCAAGGAAGCTTGATTCTAAAAGATTCAAGCAATCAAAAGCATGTAAAATTGGAATTAAAAAAACGAATAGACACAAAGGTTTAGAGTAGTTCAACTCAATGCAACCTACATCTATAGTTGTTGTGTTAGGATAGATGCTCTTAAGAAAAATTCATTTTATCTGTTTTAGATATATATATATATATATATATATATATTGATTCAATAAAGATTTATTTTTATACCATACCACATGTATCTTATTTTCTGTCGAGAAAAATTTATCAAGTAAACAAAAGTACTAAGACAATTAATTTATATACCTATTATACATATTGGGAATAGATTAGTCATTAGAAGTATATTTATTACTGAAGAAATACAATATGCGTTACTATGCATATATAAGTTTTGCAAAACCTTAAATCGCTTAGAATGTTTAACATAGAACCATTACAAAAAATTTAAAAAAAAAAAATGAACATTTAGCCTTAAACAACTTCCTGTGATGTTTTTAGTCACAATATTTGTATGTGATCATTAAATGTCCCTTTAATTTACGCGCAACCTTGTAACTAATATGCGTCTAGTCACAACTTTTATTATTCCTAAAATTTTTAGCCACGAAATTTATAGTCACCGGAAAATGTTTTAGCGACATGCCAAAAAGTTTCCATGACTAAAAAGTCCGTGACAAAAAAGTTTTTGCCGCATTGCATTAGTGACAAAATTCATATTAGTCATGAAGTTGTAACGAAAATTACATTTAGTCACACAAAAATATGAGGCTATGGATGTTACAAGATTATGTTGTAACTAATCTTTTTTTTTTCTTTAGTGGAACCAAAGCCTATAAACTAAATAACTGGCTCCGTTCACTTCGCTGATTTGAGTTTAGAATTCGAGTTTTTCTACAGTAAAAAGCTCTCACAAACAATCACATCTAATTTTTTTGTTACAGTAAAAAGCTCTCACATAAAGTCACATCTTAACTCGAATTCTAAACTCGAATCAGCGAATTCTAAACTCGAATCAGCGAAGTGAACAGGGCCTATAAATAACAGTAAAAAGCTCTCACAAACAATCACATCTAAATATACGACTATAAATAACATTTACTTCATGACGTGGAACTCTCGAAATACAGTTGGCATAATACGTGAATCAATCGGATAGAATCCAAGCATAATAAATTAATTTTCAGAAAAAGAAATAATAAATTAATTAGCTATTAGGAAAAGCTCATAGCTGTCCTTACCATGCTTCAAGCGTTTCAATCGGCAAGTAAAAAGTTGATCAACAACATCCATATTTTCTCACCAAATTACCCCCAACCATCTAATTAAATAACAACCCCCCCATTTTTTTCACTTCCCTTAGCTATAAAAAGCCCACATAGCAATTGAGTTTCCAAACCATCTTCCTCAACATTTCTCATATTCTTCTTAACCACACACTTTTTTTTTCCTAGCTAGTAATTTGTTCCAAACAAAAATGGCTTATCAAAATCCCCCACCCTTGTTATTCCTCATTGTGATTCTTCTCACATTCTCTTCATTGGTTTTCGGTGCCCGCCATCTTCAGGAGATTCCTAAGCTAGAAATAGAAATCCCCCAACTTCCCACTTTCCCAAAGCTTGATGTTCCACACTTGCCTGAGCTGCCAAAACTCGAACTCCCCAAGCTTCCGGAACTGCCACATTTCCCCAATGTCCCTGAGCTGCCTAAGCCTACATTACCAACCATCCCAATTATACCAAAAGATCAGAAACTGAATCATCCTTGAAACATTTAAAGGAGTACCACTCCAGAGTTGAATATTTATATTTTATACACTACCAATAAATATATATATATATATATACACTGTTGCCGTTTCTATATACGTATCTGCCGGATGCTACTTGTAATCCAATGTACTGGAATATGTGTGTCTAGATTTGTTGTTGTGAGTTTGTATTACTTCTTTAGAGTGGTTCTTTTGGATTGTATTCTGTACTGCATAGCAATACATATTTGTTACATGATTTATATATGATAGTTGCTTGATTTTATGTTCGTCTGTCTTGCTTTTGATCAAGAATGTTATCATATTGTTCAGGCAAAATTAAATATGCCGCAGGGAAGAAGAATTCATCGTAATTAAAGTAACAGAATTAATGTTAATTTTCCTGTTCTACTTTTGACAACGTGAACGGAATTAAAAAATCAAGCTACAGTAACCTTACAGTCAATAATGTAGATATATATTTTTTTAAATAGACTTAAGAAAACACTTACGTGTAGAAGATTTTTTGGTCGGAGGGAAAAGTGATAATAAAAATTAAGAGGAATATTAACTGGATGTGTAACTTATTCACTTATTTGGCCTCTGTCTTAAATAGTGAGAATCACGAGATGTAACTTATCTTTTTATTTTAACTACGGTGTCAAATTACTTTGTTGACTCCCATTTTAATATTTAGTTAAACTAACCAATTGATTCAGAATAATTTGATAATTTTTCAAATCAATTTTTTTTTTCTAATTCCCTTACTTTCCATCTAGTTTATACCAAGCAAGATTTTTGTTCTTCTTTGTCGTCTTTCCTCCCATAAAAAAAAATACTATAGGGGTGTACGTGAAAAGAAAGTTAAAAAGAAAGAATGTTTCTCTTTATGATTTAATAATGTGTTTATTAGAAATGGTAGTTTGGTAGACCGTGTAAGATATGGAGAATTGAAAAAAAAAAAATTTGAACATCAATCCTAGTAATCTTCTAGCATTGATTCTCGATTAATGAGGACGAATGCAAACATACACTTTTTACAAGTTCGCGTATTATAAGTTAGGATAAATTTTATTTTTACCCCCGAACTTTAGTATTTTTGTCACTTTGCTCCTTAATTTTAAAAATTGGTCTACACACCCCCTAAACATTAAAACGTTAGTCACTTTGTCCCTTTTGTTTATTTGACTAGTGGATTTGATGACGTGAAAATTATTGGATGGACAGTTTAATGAATTATTTGCATAAATGCCCTCTGAAGTATGTTTCATACTTTAAAATGCCCCATGATTTATCAAAACACATCAAAATGTCCCTAATTTATGAAAAGTGTAACAAAATAACAGTTTTACCGATGTGGATGTCATTAAAAATTAATTAGACATTAAATTCTAATTTAATCAATAAAAATGATTAAATATTGAATAATAATAATAATAAAATAAATATAAAAATGCTTCACTTCAAAAAAAATTCAAAAATTAAATAAAACTATTTTTTTTCAAAAATCAAAACCCAAAAGAAAAGAAGAAATTTTTTTTTGGAAAGCCCTATTCCTCTTCAGCTCTGAAAGTGCATATCAAAACACATTTTTTTTCCTTAAAAAGGAATTTTTTTATTTTTGAATTGTCTTTTAGATATTTCATTTAAAAAAAAATATTAGTTGATAAAGCATGCCACTATAAAGTCGTTAAATCCAAAAGACAACTAAAAATATATAAGAAAAAAAGAATCAGAAACCCTTCTTCCTCTTTAAACATCGAAAAACCTTCTTTTTAAGTGAAAAAAATTGTTTTAATTTGTACTTTGAGAGCTGAAGAGGATGAAGATCTTTCAATTTTTTCCTCTTTTCTTTTGGATTTTTTAGATTTTTAAAAAAATATATTTAATTTTTGAATTTTTTGAAGTGAAGCATTTTTATATTTTTTATATTTTTCATTATTTAATCACTTTTAATGATTCAATTAAAATCTAATGTATAATTAATTTTTAATGATATGACACATCAGCAAATTATTTTATTATGTTTTCCAAAGATTATGAGCATTTTAATGTGTTTTGATATACGAAGGGACATTTTGAAATATCATACATACTTTAAAAGGCATTTATGTAAATAATTCATTAAATTACACCTCTAATAATTATCACGTCATCAAATCTATTAGTCAAATAAACAGAGGGCCAAGTTAATAATGTTTCAAATTTTAGGGGGTGCACAGACCAATTGTAAATAATTCATTAAATTACACCTCTAATAATTATCACGTCATCAAATCCATTAGTCAAATAAACAGAGTGCCAATTTAATAATGTTTCAAATTTTAGGGGGTGCACAGACCAATATTCAAAGTTCGGAGGCAAAGTGACAAATAGATCAAAGTTCAGAGGGTAAATAAAATTTATCCTATAAGTTAATATATAGTATTAGAATTTTTACGAGAGATGAGAAGAAAAGTGGGGGAAAAAATTACACTTTATAAAGTATTGAACTTCCATCTTAAAAATTTAACATGTTTAAGTTAGGTAACTAATATTGAGGTGATCCGATATCCTTATATCACTGTGATTATGTTTATGTTTAGAGAATGTGGGACTCGGGTATTTTACCCTTCACACGTCCATGCAAGATGGTTTTCTGTTAGGAGTTACCAATCTTGTAAATTAATAGATCGCATCAGCTCGTTTAAACAGTGGGCTCTGATACCATATTAAAGTATTTAGGAGAGATGATACGAAAAGTGAGGGAGAAGAATTACACTTTATAAGGTATTGAACTTCCCCACTTAAATAGGTTAACCTTTTAAGATAGAAGCCTAATCCCCATAATTCTTCTCCCTCACTTTTCTTTTTATCTCTCCTTCAAACTCTAATATATAGTCATCTCCCATATAAATTTTAATGTCATGTTATATGTTGGAGAAAAGAAGTGAAAAACTAAATAAATAAATCATAAATCTCGTTTTACTATGTCTTTTTTTTGTGCATTTTCACTAAATATGTTTTCATATGTTCTGTTTGTTACTATTTTTTAGATAAAACACAAAAACCCAAACCATAGATTTTTTTTTGTCATGACTTTTTACATATCTATTATTTATGTCATTCTAAATAATTCGGTGTTGTTATGACTTGTTATTTTATTTTTACTAATTGAATTTTATTTTTTTATTGGAGTTTGACATAAATAATATTTTTTATCACCTTAAATGGTATTTATGGTTTTTTTGTCCTTTTTTATTTGTTTTTGTTTTATTTTCTTTACTATGTTTCTTTATTTTCTTGACGTGTGAGATTTTTCTTTTCTTTACAGTTTGAGTTTAATGAGTTTTACAGATACGAAAATTATTAATTGTTTTTCTCTGTAAAATGTAAATGAAAGCCACGATAATTGTTTTTTCTTATATATGTATTTAAATGAAGAGATTTCATGTAGACATGATTTAGGACTAAAAAACTGGACTTTCCCTTTTCCCACTTGGAAAAAGATGCCTATTTGAAGAAAAAAAAATGATCTACTTTCTTTTTTGAATGATGTTTTGTTATTTTTGTGGATACGTTGCATTATGGTCATGTTGTTTAGTCTTTTCGGATTTTTAGGAAAGCTTGTTTATAAACAGGTATATAACTATAAAATTTTATACCTACTTTTCCGTCCCACCTTGGGTACGTCCCACTATTGGTGTGCATTAATTATAACCGATTCTGTTTGGTGGATTGAGTGTTGGAGTTGACTTGGTATACTTGTTATTTTGAAGATGAAGGCTGGGTGTTTTAAGTTAATTTATCATACTTTTTAAACTGCGTTCGAGGCCAGAAATTGGTCCATTAATATTAATACAACATCCTAACACGCAATGTAAAATACGAAACATGTAAGCATACAAAACCTAACTTTGAATAAGTAAACATAGAAACTCCTAAAAGATATTATTGTCAAAATAGAAAGTCCTAGATATAATTAGAGAATGTTTAATCCTTCCTCTTAATTAAATTACAAAATTCCATTTTGAATCTTTCGTAAAATAGACATTAAGTTAGCATTAAATAAGGAATGATTATATTCACACTTTTTTCACTTTTTAACTACCTTCTAAATACACCCGCTTGATTTTAAAATGATTAAATTTATTTTTTACGTATTCTTATTATTTTAAAATTATCTTAACTATTTCATAATATTATCAATTCTTGACCACTTTGTTTCACTTATCACACTAACCATTCAATTTACACATTCTTATTATTTTAAAATTATCCTAACTATTTCATAATATTATCAATTCTTAACCACTTTATTTCACTTATCACACTAACCATTCAATTTTCATTCGTTATTTTAATCTGTTGGGGAATCAAATTCTAATTTTGTCGCTTACTTAGTAAAGAATCAGAATGAATCAAAACAAAATATGTGCGATTAAAAAAATATCCTTGTGTGGTAATTAAAAGTAGTGCAAAACTCGGTAAATAGGTTAGTTCTCCTCCGCTGTTTTTCCAAGAAGGAATTTAATTACGTAGGTAGAAGGTTGGAGATAAAATTCCCCCTTATTGAGTAAAGACATAATTGAAACGCAGTAAATTATCTTTCTTGAAATTGAATTTCTCATTCATAAATGTGGACCGTAATTAAATGAAACAAATATCTTAAATCTAAAAATTAATTTTAATTAGCATATACTTCACCAACAACATTTGCTTCAGGCGTTCAAGAAAGTCCACATCTGAACTAGATTAAATATCCGAAGAAGTTCCTCTTTACCTTCTCATTCTAGACAAATCGAAAGTGCTACTTAGGGTGCGTTTCGTTGCAGTGACAAAATGGTAATGAGAATAATAATGGGAATGGTAATAGAATGAAATTAAAATGTGCTGTAAACATAAATTAATTCTTTAATTTAGTTAGAGTTATCGAATCAATACCTTATTTGAAGAAATAGAAACACAACTATTGTGAGACTAACTTGAGAAGACTGCTTCGCAAGCTTGTTTTCCACAAAGTGATCGCCTATGAGGAGATAGAGTCCCGAGCATGCCTCAACACTGCCAATCATCTTCTCCGAATCCGAGTCCTGAAATTCACACATATTTTGGAAGAATTTAGCAACGCAATTCTTATCTCGGGTTAGTTTACTGATTGACAATAGATTATAATCAAGATTCGGTACAAGTAAGACAGAATGAAGAGACAAAGTCTTAGAAATTGTAACTGAACCAAAGCCTTCAACTTTTGAAATGGAGCCATATGCAATCTTAACTGAGTGATTTTCATTGCTAGGCATAAAATCAGTAAGAAGGGATTTATCTCCCGTCATGTCGTTTGAAGCGCCCGAGTCAACAATCCAAATATCATTTCTTTCCCTGCTAACAATTAAGGCTTTTGAGAAATTACCTTTTTGAGCAAGGGACCATGTAGCAACAATGGAAGAGCCGGTGGATTGACTGATCATCTTTTGAAGAAGTTCAAGCTATTTTTTGTTGAAGAGAACCAGTTCGGTGGTGCTATTCTCACTAGTTGAGGATGCAATATTGCCACGGCTTTCAGGTGTTGGCCGTGAGGGTTTCCAATCAGCAGGTTTCCCGTGACTCTTCCAACAAGTATCCCTGGTATGGCCTGTTTTCCGACAATGCTCACACCAGGGCCTGCCTCTTCTCGCCTTGTTCTCTGTGTTGTTTGGTTGAGGTCCATGCACAACAAAGGCTAATCCTTCAGTGGCTGTGGGCAGATTGTTTGGTGTTCCCAGCATTACTTTCTTTCGGCTTTCTTCCCTTCTTACCTCCGAGAAGGCTTCTCGTAGACTTGGCAGAGGTTTTGTGCCCAAAATTCTCCCACGGACTTCATCTAGATCCTTGTTAAGTCCCATTAGAAAGTTAAACACTCATTTTTTCTCAATGATCTGCTTATACCAATTTCCATCATTCGGACTCTCCCAAGTATACTATTTAAACAAGTCTAACTGTTGCCAATAACGAGTAAGAGTATTATAGTATTGGGTAACAGAATTTCACCTTGTCGGAGATCATGGAGAATGGTTTCTACACCAAAAAGTTCTAGGTGTTTTCGTTGCTGATGTAGGTGTCTTTGGCAGCATCCCAAATTTCTTTGGCAGTACTATAGAGGAGAAAACTTTCTCCAATATCATTGATCATAGAGTTGATCAAGACATTACCATGCTGTCCTAAGCCCTCCAAGACCAATACTTAGGGTCTTTTTCTCCTAGTGAGGCCGACAGGCCTGTGAGGTGGTCATCCTTCCCTTTCCCACGAATAAACATGAGAACGGACTGTGACCACTGCAAATAGTTATGCCCGTTTAGCTTGTGATTGGTAGAATCCCACTGATGTACGCGCCTCCACTGTTTCCTGCCACTAGATTTTCCTGATTGGAGGTAATTTCAGAGGTGGAGCTTCCTCAGTCTGCTGCCATGCCGTATTTGGCCATTATATATAGGACTATAGGAGAGTTAATGGGAAAAACAGGGGTTACTGGACAGAGTCAGAGGCCGGGTTCTAATACCATAAAGAATTGAATGAAGAATAGACTTCTTTTCATTGATTTAGAATGATACAAGAGCGGAATATACACGAGGAGCATGATCTGCGACCTTACCTGATTTCTAGCCTATTTTGATTAAGAGAATATCAAGGAACATATTTCCTGATTTTCTCAATTAACTAAATAAGGAAAGATTGACAAAATCAAAGCTAATCTACAGCTGGTCACAGCTATACAGTCTAGATTTTCAACATATAGAAATAAAGAAACACAGCTTCAAGATAATCAAGGGCTTTAATCAATTTCACAATAGACTAATATTATCAGCACATTTACATAAAATTGGAAACAAAACATGAACATACCAAAAAAGAGGAGAAAGTTTCTAAATCAGACAACATAAAAAATAAAATATGTACTACTACTTTGGCTACTTTGGGATCCTTATACCAGTCTTTGTTTTTGACTCCCCAGCCATCTTTAGGTCGTTTCCTCTATCCCTTCCCTTGTGTCTCCTAGCATGGTTTCTCATCACTACTATTTATGCACTCTTGGTGGCGGTCACTACATCAACAAGAGAAGCGTTCCGAGCAGTTACCTCTTTTTTCTCTAATGTCAAGTCTCAAACTGTTCTTGAATTGGACTATCCTAAGTATATCAAAATAGCATTACCCCAACAGACTAAATAAACCAAAATCAATGACTAAAACCTCAAGTTACAGACCAATCCCCCATACAATTCTCTTTTGCTCATATCACATCAATTTAAATATATATCCACAAAAATAACCTATCATATCTCCTTAGTGTAACCTCATGCCATAAGACATCAACAATACCATGCCATAATTCATAGGAACACAACTTCGAAAGTAATTCATTCTAATTTCCAAATCATTCACTTATTCCTGAATCAAAGACCATAAAGAAACTAAAAGATTACTGAAGTGGAGGCAATATGCAAATCTCTCAAGACTCATAAACCAACATCAAAGATTCCTAATCAAACAAAAATTGACTACCATGAATGATTTCCAAGAAATATGTAATAGTCAACCCATGTCATGCAAGCAAAAATCAATCCCTAGACTAACATAGTCTTTCATTATTAGATGACAAGCAGTCAAGGAAGATTACAACACCAACCCTTCAAAGTGTCTAATTCAAAAACCACGGGGCAAAAATTTTAGTGAATGGTTTATCATAAGCTTAATTTCCCAAAAACGCCAAGATTCCCAAAGGATTTGCCACAAACAACTAAACATGAGAAGCATTCCGAGCAGTTACCTCTTTTTTCTCTATTGTTATTAGATGACAACTAAACAAGAGAAGCGGTCAAGGAAGATTACAACTGCTAACATAGACTTTCATGTCAAGCAAGCAAAATCAATCCCTAGACTAACATAGTCTTTCATTATTAGATGACAAGCGGTCAAGTTAGATTACAACACTAACTCTTCAAAGTGTCTAATTCAAAAACCAAGGGGCAAAAGTTTTAGTGCAATGGTTTATCATAAGCTTAATTTCCCAAAAACGCCAAGATTCCCAAAGGATTTGCCACAAACTAAACAAGAGAAGCGTTCGGAGCAGTTACCTCTTTTGTCAAGCCTCAAACCATTCTTGAATTGGACTATCCTAAGTAGATCAAAATAGCATTACCCTAATAGACTGAATAAACCAAAATCAACAACTAAAACCCCAAGTTACGGACCAATCACACAAAAAATTCTCTTTTGCTAATATCACGTAAATTTATACATATATCCACAAAAATAACCTATCATATGTCCTTAGTGTAACCTCATGCCATAAGACATTAACCATACCATGCTATAATTCATAGGAACACAACTTTGAAACTAATTCATTCTAATTTCCAAATCATTCACTTATTCCTGAATCAAATCCCGCAAAGAAATTAAAAGATTACTAAAGTGGAGGCAATAAGCACATCTCTCAAGATTCATAAACTAACATTAAAGATTCCTAATCAAACAAAAATTGACTACCATGAATGATTTCCAAGAAATATGTAATAGTCAACTCATGTCAAGCAAGCAAAATCAATCCCTAGACAAACATTGTCTTTCGTTATTAGATGACAAGTGGTCAAGGCAAATTACAACACCAACTCTTCAAGTGTCTAATTCAAAAACCAAGGGGCAAAAGTTTTAGTGAAATGGTTTATCGTAAGTTAATTTCCCAAAAACGCCAAGATTCCCAAAGGATTTGCCACAAACAACTAAACAAGAGAAGCGTTCCGAGCAATTACATCTTTTTTTCTCTAATCTCAGGCCTTAAACCATTCATGAATTTGACTATCGTAAGTATATCAAAATAGCATTAGCCAAATATACTAAATAAACCAAAATCAATGACTAAAACCTCAAGTTAAGAAGCAATCACCCATACAATTCTCTTTTGCTCATATCATGTCAATTTATACATATATCCACAAAAATAACCTATCATATCTCCTTAGTGTAACCTCATGCCATAAGACATCAACAATACCATGCTATAATTCATAGGAACACAACTTCAAAAGTAATTCATTCTAATTTCCAAATCATTCACTTATTCCTGAATCAAAGGCACATCTCTCAAGACTCATAAACCAACATCAAAGATTCCTAATCAAACAAAAATTGACTATCATGATTGATTTCCAAGAAATATATAATAGTCAACCCATGTCAAGCAAGCAAAATCAATCCCTAGACTAACACAGTCTTTCATTATTAGATGACAAGCGGTCAAGGCAGATTACAACACCAACTCTTCAAAGTGTCTAATTCAAAAACCAAAGGGCAAAACATACGACTCGCAAGATCAAAATCAAAGGATCACCTTTAAGGTCCGTTGAAATATACCCTAAAGTCTTAAAAAGCGACACTTTCAACTATTAAACCAATTAAAAGGTCACCTCTAGGGCGGTAAATTACTAAACTCCCAATTGAGTGTTACCTACTTGGAAGATACGTGGTTATTCAGCCGTCTAAAACCTGTCTTATTTAACACCACTTACACCAGTAGTTAGGTTTGTGGTTTAACCTCAAGACTATAGAAGCATTAGAAGATTAACATCTGACATGTCACTTCAAAACACATCCAACCATTTGCCACATGAAACCAAAACACTTGAATAAACTAAAAAAATAATCTAAATAAAATGAAACCTTGAATAATCCACAGCTCTCCCAAAAGTCAGGCTAAAATATATCGATCAAATTTTAAAGTCACATAGACACATCATCAAGCTCTACCGACCATAGTTGGTTTCTAACAAAAAGTCAGCAGTATAACAACTTAATTTCAATACACCCATAAAATCCAAACCTGCAAAAGAAAGAAAAATACAAAAATATTATCGGCGCATCATAGCTGCAAGACACGCCACCCAGAACAATTCATAGTAAATCAAATAACATTTTTCAACTAAATTATCAATTCACAATAGCGAATTTCAATCATAATAACAACATCACTAATAATTACAACAGAGTTAATTTCTCAGTACCAAATAACCACATAATCCATCAAGATTTAAGTAATATAAATTGTTCGAAAGAAAATCAAAGAGTTTTGAGTAGTCGAATTCCTACCAAAACAAGAAGCGTGAAACTTTGATCTCCAATCTCAAGTCTCGAAGTCCTATCTAGCAATTTGAATGTCGAGAACGCATTCGGTACGTCAAAATTTGGTTGGAGAGGAAACTTCTCGACATCAGACTGTCGGGTCCGTCATTGGCCGATTAAACCCACCGTTGACCGGCCTTGACCGATGTTGACCAGGATGGAGGACCGCGGGGTGGGTGCTAAATTGAAGTTCAAAAGGCGAGGAACGCTGGAAAAGACCCGAAAACCCTAAACTTGGTGGCGACGGCACACCGGAATCTTTATGGCGACGATCGGAGCAGTGGCTACATGGTTTTGTTCCTCACAATGAGAATAACGCAATGGCGTAGCTCGCTGGCGAAATGGAGGCCGGATGGTACCGGAATCCGACGTTGAAGAAAACAGCTTCAAAACTTTTACCGGCAAACGATGAGGCGACGGGCGACGAAACTTCGGATCCAGCGATTTCAGCCAGTGGGCTTCTTGGGCTGCCGGCGCGTGGCGGAATTTGGCACGAAGGTAGCGGGCTAGTGGCGGGGGGGCCCTTTTTTTTTTTTTTTTTTTTTTGAGAGAGAGAAGGAAAGAGAAAGTAACGAGAAAGATGTTTCTGGTGGAAGGAGGGAGAAACTTTTCTATTTAAAATTTGAAATATTACCACAATATCCTAAAAGTTAAAACTTTTGCGTTGAATTTTTTTAAATTACAACTTTGGCCCAAATTGGTACTTTTGTTTTCAATTGAATGCCATAGGGTCCGTTAGTTCTAGGATTTTAACTCATGATTTTGATTCTGTTCTCTCATAAAAAAATTTGAATCAAAAAACCTTCTACTAATGTGTTCTCTCATAAAATTTAAATTTAAAATTAAAATCACTGATTTAAAGACGTGAACCAAGCTAATAAACTTTATATAATTTATGTTACATTTATTGAACTAATGGGCATAATCATTCATGGAAATGTTTGAGATGACAGTAAGGAATTAATTTCTCAAAATCAAAGTTCTTATTCTTAATGAGGTGGGTTTAGTAAGTGGAAGTTGACAGTAGTGTTTGCATTTGTGTAGGCTATGTCGTTGGGATTTGACTACAGCACTATAATTTTGTGATGTACAATTATAATGTACGAGTGGATGAGCATAGGTATTTGAATTAGCATAAGTGAGTACCGACAAACATCCGTAATAAACTCGTTCATTTCACCGATTTCACTTTAGAAGTCGAGTTTTGTTACAGTAAAAAACTCTCAGAAACAGTCACAGCTAACTTTTTTGCTATGATAAAAAGCTCTCACATAAAGTCACATATCAACTCAAATCAGTGATTTAAACGGGCCCTAAAGATACTTTACTCACTTATGGGCCCGAGAGCTCGTACCATGTGTGCGCAACCATTGGGACGTAAGGGTTCGCAAGGTCCCCAACGACACCGTGATTTAACTTACTATATACTTCTTTTTCTTTTCTATCTCCTTGCAGAGTCTGAGTTACCTCCCTCTCAGAGGCTGGTATGACACTCAACTGAGTTTGTTCTTATAAGTTTCACTTGACTTATTAAGGTGGATGCATTATGGCATGACATCGCATAAAGCATAAACATGCGTACATAACATGTGTAACTTTTTCCTTTAAAATCTATTCATACTATAGGCAAGATTCCTACTTACCTGATTTACAGAGCTGAAATCCACTATTAGCCAAACAGTCTATTCCCTTACTTGCTTACTTATGAAAATGAACACTCATTGAAAGTGTGAGATTTACCGGCGTTTGCTATTCTATTTTAGCAACTTATGAAGGAAATCAAATCCTTTACTTAAGGCATGTATTCCTTTCCTTTATCGATGGATCATAAAATTTACTATAAGGATTAATTTATTAAATCCTAAAAATCTTATTTTTCTTAATTGCCCTTAACATCCACTTGCCTAGATTGAAAATCAATTACCTAATCTAGTAACTCATTCTTCATAATTTACCTTATTGGACTTGTTATGATATTAAGGCCCAATTCGGCCTAGAAACTTAATAACGGCGTTCTAACTCTTAGGTCGTTGAAATTTAAACTAAAATGGGGTCTCTTGAATTAAATACGGGCGTTGGACCCACATCTAATCTTTGAAATTCCAAGGACCAAACCCTTTTGGCTTGTAATTTTCCATTCGGATGTTCTTTCTCCAAAACTGTTAAGTTTTTGCTCAAAAACTGTTAAGTTTTTAACTGAAATCATTTTTCTTGAAAACTATCTCCATGAATATTCCCGCTAAAATGAGGTCTAAAACCATAGTATTTTACTGAAATCCCATCTTGGTTTCTTCGATAACTTTTGTTAAAAATTAAAACTATGTAACGCCCTCTAGAATTAAACATGTTTAATTATGCTAAACTGTGGATTATTAGTGTGCCTAATTTTATTTTCATAATTAATCAATGGACTTTAAGTTATTTTCAGTATTTATAATTTCACCCCAAAGATTTTTGGAAAACACACTTAAATTTAATACATTTTCTCTTTTTTCTATTTTTCTTTTTCCTTTTCTTTTCTTTTTCTTTTTCTTTTTTTTTCTTTCTTTTCTTTTTTTTCTTTTCCCCATTTCCTTCCCATGCGCCCAACCCCCCATTCTCTTTCTTTTTCTTTTTTTCTTTTTTTTTCTTCTTCTTCCTTCCCTGGTTCTCCCACGCACAGCCATCTCTCTCTCTCTCTTTCTCCATTTTCTTCCACCGCCGGCCACCTCCTTCTCCGGACTTCCTCCCGCCGGCGTCCTCTCTCTCTCCCTTGCTCTCTCTCTCCGGGTTTCTCTCTCCCTCTCTCTCTCTCGGCAGTTTGGCAAAATCACAAAAAAAAAAAAATGAAAAACAGAAAAATTGAGGGAGACAAAGCTCGAGCAACTGATTTGAGGTAAAACCCTTTGAAACCCACTCTTTGATTCAAATTTTAAGCTTGAGAAAGTTTGATTTTGGTTAGATTTGAATAATTTTGAGTTAGGGTTCGAGTTTGAACAGTTATTATTGGAATCGAATGAAATTTGGGGGTTTTTAGTTATTGGACTTGTTTAATTGATTAGAAACTGATTTTGATGGATTCTGGAGAATATATATTGAAATTGAACTTGAATTGCAGGTTTAGCATTTTTCCTATTTATGTCGGCATGCTGCCGAAATTTCTATAGAAACTTGTTTTTAAACTGAAATTAAATAGGAAAACCAAACCTATGGATTGGATTCTAATTTTTAAAGAACCCCCAAACTGAATTATAAAATTATTGTGAAACTTGAATTTGAGTCAAGGCACACTAATAGGAAACAATTAAACATGATTGAACTTAATTCGTTTTAGGAATGAGAAATACTTCCTAAGATATT